GCGTGTCGCGTCAAGTGATTTCTTGGCGCCGCACCTGCGATGTATTCCATAAAGTGAACTATATCGCAATTGCCTTCATACCGACGACATCGGCTTTTGAGTCATGATGAGGGGTTATGAGTGAATATGAGGGGTTATGAGTGAATATGATGAGTTATGAGATAAAGTGAACTATATCGCAATTGCCTTCATACCGACGACATCGCTTGCGATGATGTTAGGAACTGTGCCTTATGAGTGAATATAATGGATTATGAGTGAATATGAGGGGTTATGAGTGAATATGATGGATTATGAGTGAATATGATGGGTTATGAGTGAATATGATGGGTTATGAGTGAATATGATGGATTATGAGTGAATATGATGAGTGGATATGAGGGGTTATGAGTGAATATGATGGTTTATGAGTGAATATGATGAGTGGATATGAGGGGTTATGAGTGAATATGGTGGGTTATAAGTGAATATGATGAGTGGATATGAGGGGTTATGAGTGAATATGGTGGGTTATGAGTGAATATGATGAGTGGATATGAGGGGTTATGAGTGAATATGATGGTTTATGAGTGAATATGATGAGTGGATATGATGGGTTATGAGTAACTATAAAGTTCATACAATGGACAATAGTATACTAGCGTAATAATAGTCGAGGGAGAAAATGAATGCCTTTATTTAAGTGTAAAGCTGAATTAACAAATTAACTCACCGTAGGTTCAGAACGGCAAGTAAAATCGACGAACTTGTTTAGAAGAAATAGAATAGTTTATTTACACAAAATAGGCACTCACACAATGTTGATGAATGGATATTAAATAATAGTGCCAGTGATTGTCGGGTTACCTTGAACGTGTCACACCCACACCCACCGAATTCTAGAGAAGCACTGCCAAATTGTTTGCAATAAAAATTGTTTACATTCAATTTAACTTCACGTAACCTCAACTTTAAATTTCATTAAAAAAATAATAATAATTAGGTTGGCATGCATCTTACTATTAATTTATTCTAAGAATAATAACTGACGGCATTTTTTAAACGTACACCGACAGATGAAGACTTAGCTTTGCCTTAGTTTAGTTAGAGCGGCAACACTAAAAGCTAGTTAGGCTACCTACCCTCAATGCTACTACCGCCGCATTCTGACACGTATCTGGCTGATTATGATATGAATATGAATTTGCCTTTCTCACCACAAGTCTTCAAACAAAGTATAGAAAAAAAAACTAACGTAGACTCAACACCAAAACCCAAGCCCTTCAAAAAAAAACGACAAATTTTATTAAGAAAACTAAACCACAACTTTCTACCTCGATCGAAAAACCAGTTTCGTCTTAATTAATGTGGCAAACTGCATGAACCTTAAAAATCTTAGTTCTGTCCAGTATTATTACCAGCGGCAAGGTATGTGTACTTGTGTAGGTTTTGTATTACCTGGCTAGTGGCGACGTATGTGTTAATGAAGATTGTATGTTACTTTATTGTATTGTAATCACCCAACTGACCCAAGACTATAACAAAAGCTGCACCTTCTGTGGCATTTGCTACAAAATGTATCTGTTATGCAAAGCAATTTACTCTAGGTTAGCGATAATGAGCCGTGTCCTTTCAAAAAGTTCGTTCGGCAATATTAGTCCATTTTCCTAGGTTTACTACATTAGAGAAGCCAAATTTGACAAGCATTTGTTTGCGTGTTCAGATTGTCAGAGTCAAAGTAAATAATTCAATAATTGTGAAAAGTACACCCTTCGTAAGAAGTCTAAGGGAAAGCATTTTCACATTTAATTAACCCTCAACCTATAAAACTCTATATCACTCTCCTGGAACATAACTTTCAGCTCAAATTATACGTAAGCTATTGAGTGTAGCAACCTGAGGACGTTTGTACGCAACAGAGAACATTTTAATCCTCTACCGTCGTATGTCACTCTCCGAGAACATAAGTTTAAACTTAAATTGCATGTAAACTATTGAGTGTAGCGACCTGAGTACGTTTGTACGCAACAGAGAATATTTTAAAGTTGTACGTGGCGGCAACCATCAGTGCAAGTCATTTTGCGCTCACTAGAACGTATCCTTTTTGGGAAGCAGGCTTGTTCCTTATTGCTCCGGTTACTCCTGCCATGGCTGTAGAGGGTTAAAAACTCACCACCACAGCCAGTTGACCATGAGACATTATATGTAAGTATCAATAAAGCTTCAAACATGTAAGTAAAACGTAGTTTCCTGAACAAACGGGCTATTAAAAAATAAATATTTCTGCATGCAGGCAAAGCTTAATAATCTACTAAAATACGTTATCGCACACTCTAGCATTGATTCTCATTCTCAAACTAAACTCAGATCGTACTATCCCGAAAAAAAATCAAATTTGTCGTAAAAAATATATTACTCACTACTCACTGCAGTGAGTGACAGAGAGCGCATTTTTTGGTCGACGAAAACGTGAAGTCACGGACGGAGACAGACAGACAGACGGACATGGCGAGCACAATATAGCACCTTTTTTCCATAACTGAGAAAATGTGCTAAAAATAAATACTAAACTAACTAACGCGCATAGTTCTGACGATATTTATATATTATATAGGTACAAGTACTTCTACTTAGTACTATTACTAGAAGCTGAAAATAGTTGCTGAATGGTGGTCAAAGGTTCGGGTCCGAACGCCATCATTTTTAATCCGTCCTCTAAATCGGCTAAATTGGCAACATGTCTTTGATGCACAACACGCAGGCAGTCAGTCGCCATTGGATTTAACTGCGCCGATGGCACCTCAATTGTTTGTAGCAATGGGAAACAGTATTCAATTTAGGACTGAAGCGGAGTACTTAATTGCTTGAATTGATTGCCAAGTCGGCTTTATGTGGCGCGGTCGGAGTAACGATCTCGATCTTTGGAACGCGAAGTGAGGGGAGGAATGAAGGATAAAATAATAATTTCCATTAAATCCAATCACTAAAGAAAAAAGTTCATTAAAAGAAAAAGTGTAACTCAGTACTCGCTGCAGTGAGTGACAGAGAGCGCATTTTCTCGTCGACGAAAACGTGAAGTCACGGACGGACAGACAGACGAACATGACGAGAACAATAGCGCCTTTTTTCCATAAATGAGAAAAAGCGCTAAAAACAGGTGAATGTTGTAGGGGAACGTATGCTCAGATATTATTGCTTAGATTACATTTTATATTTTTGGGGCATAAATGAAGCTGAAATGAACAACATGTGAAAACCGGTAAAAATACAGATGAAAAACCTTGTAATACAAATAACGGCAAAACCCAAGTCTTGCAAAATAATTTTTTCAGAAGTTGATTCAAAATCTGCACACACTATCCATCGATAATAGCAAACTAATATCGCAAATTTTAATATATTTTTTCTCGTATTCTAAAATTATTTATTCTTTCAATTGATTACCGCATTGTCTCCAACTTTACGCACGTGTGCAAAATTTCTGATCGATTGGACAGGTAGAAGTGTGTCAAATATCGATAATAAGATTTGTAGCTGACAAAAGTATTTTTAATTTTTACAGCACTTCTCTTTAACTTCACTTCTTGTTGTTTGTTTGTCTGCTACAAATCTTATAATCTATATTTAACACACTTCTACCTCTCCAATCAATCTGAAATTTTACACACTTGCGTAAAGTTGGAGACAATGCATGAATCAATTGACAGAATAAATAATTTTGAAAATTAAAAAATATTTTTTTTAATATTAAAAAAAATTTACAAAATAATTTTGTCAGCCACAAATCTTATAATTGATATTTGACACACTTCTACCAGTCCAATTGATCTGAAATTTTGCACACTTGTGTGAAGTCGGAGACAATGCATGAATCAATTGACAGAATAAATAATTTTGAAAAAAATTATATATTCGAAATAAAATTAGAAATTCTTTGTACATCTGTAACATTGGAGACACTGTATTCTTTAGAAGTCTTGTCTTTAAAAAATAATTTTTAAACGTATATTATTTTAATATTGAAAATATATATTTTTTAATTCGTAAAATCATTTATTCTGTCAATTGATTCATGCATTGTCTCCAACTTTAAGCAAGTGGGCCAAATTTCAAATAGATTGGACAGGTAGAAGTGTGTTAAATATCGATTATAAGATTTGTAGCAGACAGACAAACAACAAGAAGTGAAGTTAAAGAGAAGTGTTTTAAAAAATTGGTCGAGTTATGAACCTGTCTCTTATACACATCTAGATGTGTATAAGAGACAGNATTTAATACGAAAGACGACGAAGAAAGTGGCTGCTAATGTAGAAGTCGTCTTTAAATAATAATAATAATAATAGCGGTTTCAGCGTTTATTAGGCAGTAGGCCTGTCGCCGATTCTTAACATCGCAGAACGTTCACAGTTTGATGTGGTCTCGAACACACAACTCACTGCTCCCACTCTGCTGGGCTTAACCGCCCGGCCTCCTCGCCGATTCTGACCAGAAACTGGCGCACAGAGCTGGGATCGAACCCGCGCCTCTCTGCGTCAATCTTGGTACTCTGAAGTGTAACTAGGCCACCCTGCCAAGTGGTTACAGTTCATTTTGTCTACCTTTAGTCTTTTTGCAGCCAATGATCCTATTTAATCTTTTTTTTTGTTTGATTACCAAGAGCGTTTAAATTAAATTAAATACACTCGTTCAACATAGACTCTACCTGTTTGTGACCTCTGTCTGAAGAAAATCCTATTAAAATATCACTAATATTCGTATCCAATCGTTTATAAATCTTAGCTTATTCGACTTTGGAAATTAATCATGCGTCATCTGAAAAAAGCACAGTCTTTGAAACTAGCATTTATATTCTAAGGTCGAAATAATATTTAGTGGAAGTGAAAGATAAAGTTGTTGTTATCCGTTTTGAGGTGACAAGAGTTGCTCTCAACAGGGCACTTGTTGCACCTGGATTAATCAAAGGACCTTCAGCAGTTTTCCATTAGGTCAGAGTGGTGTCATAAGGAGGTCTTGCTGTTCTTTCAGAGGTTATTTAAGCGTCCTGTACTCTTGATGTACGCAACTGTGGCCTTTATTATTGCAAATTGGGCACTTCGTGGGAAGTCTCCGCCACCCAGCAGGTCACGGACTGTAAGAGGATCTATGCCATAGGTGGCCACTGCATTTTCCAGCTGCCGCCGAGCTTCCCGATGTAGTCCACAGATGAGTAGGTAGTGCTCAATTGTATCTTCCACGTTGCAGTTGCCACACATTGGAGAGGGTGACATACCAAAGCGAAATAAATATGCACCAAGGCCTACATGGCCCAGGCGGAGTCGGGCCAGAACGACCGCAGCTCTACGGGTAGGCGCAACCACCCATGGGACAGGAGACAAATTGCTGCGTATTGTGGTCAGGTGGACTCCCTTCCTGTTCGCATTTACCTCCAGCATCCACAAATCTTGCGAGCGCTCACGCAGTCCCCTTCGTAGGCCGCTCAAGAGATCTGATTGCTCTATGTGTGAGAGCACCGAGAAGTCAAGTGAGTGACCCAGCTGTGCAACCTTGTCAGCCACTTCGTTGCCATGTATTCCAGCATGGCCTTTAACCCACTGCAGGTCAACAGTCATCCCAGGTGTAGACTGCAGGGCCAGTAAGCGTGCGCGGATCTCATATACAATAGATGTGCAAGATGTGCTTGGGGGCCCTATGAGTTGCAAGCCTGACTTGGAATCAGAACATATCACCCACTGTGCAGGTGCCCTCCCAGATACCATGACAAGTGCCTGCAGAACAGCATATAGTTCAGCAAAAAGTATACTATGCATCGGGCGCAGGCGCCAAGCCACAGCCCGAGCCTCATCTGGTATGTATATTCCGCAGGCAGTTGATGAGTTGTCTCCCTGCCGCGAGCCATCACAAAAGATTCTGCGGTTGAAAGATAAAGTACCTAGTATATTGAACCTTTTCCACGCACTCAACATAAACACATAAATCACTAAACTGGTTAGAAATTGGTTTTGTTTATCTAATCCGATAGAAAAAGTAGTTCCTCCATATTCCATTTTATTCGTGTCTTGCCATATATCCACTCAAAATCATATTGCATATATTTCCGACGTTACTAATAAAATTTATAAATTTAACAGATCTCTTTCCATAGTGTTAGGGCAGGGCTCTTGTATTCTTTCATGAGCTTAAAAATTTTTTATCATACTTGTGGCGTGTTCAAAAAAGACGATAACATTTTTTTGTCTATCATTTCATATAATTTCATTTCAAGTCTTGAATAAACTAATAATGAATGTTGTTACATTCGAAACATTGCAAAATAGAACGAATTGAAAGACTATCGCGCGCCATGATCAATGCGATACATTATTGCGTAGTATACGATTAGTATCTAGTTTACGAAATATGGGTTAAGATACACTCGCTTGCTGAAATTCGTCCTTAGGTGTCACTTTCTCGTTCGCAAACCTCGTGAAGCTCAACACGCCAAATTACGGCGGGAAGCTAAAACGTTTTCACAGTCTACCGATTAGTAATCGAAAAAGTGAGTGCAGAACTATATGTGATGGTTTCATCGTAAATCAGATTGACTCGAATATAGTCTAAAAGGGAAAAATTACATACCTAGTTAAATTCTCGTCATTATTATTATATCCTTGTGCATGAGTGTCATATTCATTGTGACGGTAATTTGAGTTTTTGTCCAGGCAGTCCAGCATCTTGTGATTCTGTCATTCTGATTAGAACATAAACTTCCACTTCCATCATGACTGAGCAACAGAACATCCAGACTCCAGCAAACTGCGTCCAGGGGTTAGTGTTTTTACTCTTGATTTCTGTAAATTCATTGTCAATTCATCATTCATCTTGAATTTCATCCTTGATTTGTGTATTGTGAGGAAACTGGGATTTGGGAAGCTTTTTGGAAGTGGCAAGAGTCTTGCCACTTCCAAAAAGCTTCCCAGTAACCCTATTATGATTATGGGGTTACTTTGACCGGCGGGGTAACTTTGACCACTTTTCGTTTTTAACAAAAACCCCCAAAACTCAAAAACGATTTGACATAGAAAAATTTTGTCAATGGCCATCAATCATTATCAAAGGCCTGATACTGAGGCTACTTAATACAACAGAAGGATTTAAAAAGTTTGCATATCTAATAGGTTACAAAATTAATAATGTGACCCACAAAAAAGAGCTATTATTTAAAGCCTGTTGGAGTACCAGTACCCCCTCCAATTTTTTCATTTTTTGGTAAAATAACTCCAGGTTTTGATGCATTGTAGTAGAACTCTTCTAGTTACATATGC